GGGGGAGGGTTGTCTTTGCCAGGCCTTACAACAGAGCCAGGGCAAGAGGTTGATGGGTAAGAGGACCACCTACCAAGACACTGGACAGGGGGAGAGCCAAATGGTAGTAGTATTTGCAGATGTGAAAATGATTTTATGCCTTAAAAAGTGATCAAGGGTATGAGGATATCCTAGATTACCAGAAGGTAAGTTGGGCTGTGAATACGGAGCATGTCATCTACCCCATGGCAACTGCCCACACATATGCTCTTACCTCATGGTGAATGCGAGTGAGCTTACCTCTTGGCGAAAGTAGTGTTCATGCATCGACCATGGAGTCCACAATTTGTCTGGGTCCTGAAGCTATGGAGAGTATTGACAGGGAGGGAAGGAGCCATCATTGTGCTGTGTCCATAAGGTGCTTAGTCTTTTCCCAGCTGCATCCCAATACCACAGCAATATCCAAATAATGATCCTAAACTTGGTATTGGACGGTAGCCCTTCAAGCCTCAAATAAGATGTGAGGTCCATTGTGCTAAGTACTGTATTTTCCCACATACCACCCCTCTCTCCCCACAAATAACATGTGCTCCTTACTTTGGGACAGACAGCAGAATGAAAGAAAAAAATTATTTTTCCAGTCATGTCCAAATGCTGACTGCAGGGGATCCTGACTGCAGTGGCTGTGGTGGTGAGAGGGTTAACACTGTAGGTCTGGCCCTGAAGGGAAAAAACACCACCTCCTTCATCCCAGAGGCTAGCAGAGGTAGACCAGCAGTGTCTCCCTGCTTCTATTCCAGCAAAGAGATGTCATTTTCCCCTTTTAAGACATATGCCCCAATTTTGGAGGGCTGATTCTTGGGGCAAGGATGCATGTGGTATGCGAGTAAATATGGTACTATGCACACACATAGTAGAAAGGGCTTTCAGGAGCCCAACAATCTAACCAGACATGATAGAATGGGTGGGATGGAGCGAGCTGTCAATGGTCGCACAGCATCGGTGGCAGAACCAATGTGCAGAATCCCAAGGTGAGGCCTCGCCCCGACCCACATTGCCTTCATGGAAGGTTAGAAAGCTTTCACGGCACACAAATCCAATGCAGAGAGGTCAGTGGTGTATCAGGGCTGTGTTTTCTTTCAGCTGATACTTTTGGAGGAAAATAACGCCCTCTCTTCCTTCCCGTCCCTCTCTACACTGGCTATAGCATCATTGGTGTGAAATGGCTACACCACTTTTCCCCAAAGGCTACCTAGACTTCAAACAATAGATGTGTGATCCTGCCATGGGGCGCACACTCTGCAAAGCAAGAACGAACATTCGGTATCACGAACCATTCTTAATATAGCAAGCATGTTATAGAAACACATAGTAATTGTCACCTCTCTAATGCTTTGCCTCTGTGGAAAGTTCTTTGCAGTTGCTAATTTATTCACACAATGCCTCCACAGAGAGCCAACTAGTAGCTCATTCACGGCAGCAGCATGAGGAGAACCAGGCAGTCTTCACGGTACAAGCTGGATGAAATGTTCAAACTGAACCACACTGTGGGTGGAAGGGGAATTTGACCATTACAATTCCCTCTATTCCAGGGGTGGGCAATTATTTTGGGTGGAGAGCCACTTATTGAGTTTCGGCAAGCCATCGAGGGCTGCATGGCAGGCAGCCAGGGGCAGATAAATATTAATTTTCTAAGTTTTTTAGGGACCCCGCGGGCTGGATAGAATGGCCTGGTGGGCCACATCCGGCCCCTGGGCAGCATTTTGCCCACCCCTGCTCTATTCTTTAATGAGATCAGTAATGAGGAGATGGAAAGGGAACCCAGGTCACCGCATTCCCAGTCCGGGGCTCTGTTCGATGGGACATGATGCTTCTCTCCAAATTGTGGGCATGATGGGAAAATCTAGCAGATAAGAGAGGGGAGGGAAGGAGAACATGGGGGGTGACAAGAGGATGGATGCCAAGGTTACAGAGTCATAACCCTGTGTGAATCCATTAAGATCAACAGTCACTCTCAATGCTGAGCCCAAACCAACAACAGATTTGAATCTGAACTGTGTTCTTCATCCCTTCTTGTGACCTCCACAGCTGCCCCCAGGATCATTAACATCACAGTAAGCTCCAACGAGGATCATACCTTCAAAGCCCGCTGCACAGCCGACGGGGAACCACTGCCCTCTCTGACATGGACCGGCCCTCTGTCCAGCAATTCCTCCTCTGTCACAAGCATGAACTACCAGATAACCAAAGAGCTGCACCACCTGACTCACGATGGAAAATATGTATGCACCGCGGCAAACAGCCACGGGAGGGCGGAGGGGGCAGTGTACTTCTATAAATTCAAAGGAGCAAATAGCAACTCGATTCTGATCCTGATTTGTATTGCGCTAGGAGTCAAGGCGCTCTTGCTGCTGGCGATAGCAGGGATTGGTCTTCTGTGGAAAGGAGGTACACATGGTTAGCTCTTTCCCTCAATCCCCTAAATTAGCACCGTGATGCAGCATAAACATAAGGCAGATGCTATCAGCCTAGATCATTTTTCCCTCTGGGAATAATGGCTATCATGGAAAACTAACACGAAGAAGGAGAAACAGGAAACTCCCTGGTGACTAGTTATGGGGGTGACGTATTGAGTCCTTATTCTCCAACGCATTTTTTTAAATATGCAGTGGTTTCAATGCGTCTAAAGAGATCAGTTTAGGAATTTGCAGATTCCCAGCTTGAAAAGGCCATTTTTAATGTACAGTGTAAAATATTTTAAAGTAGACTAATTTATACTGCTTTGTACTTGCCTCCTGTGTACTCTACAAAGCCACTTGGGCCTTATAACTGCCGCCTCCTCCTCATTTCATAGGTGACAGGATGGAAGCAGAAAGGTTAAAGGGCTTTTTAACGGCCACAAAGGTCCATCTAGACCAGTTATTCCCACACTGCATACCACCAATTTAAAACGATACAACCTTAAGTACCACTAGCAAATTTTTCAGTTCAACCTTAAGTACCATCAGCAATGTTTTGTCATATAAAGTAATTATAATAAATCTGTTAACACATACCACTGATGGTACACATACCACAGCCTGAGAACCGCTGATCCAGACCCTCAGCACTGTAATATCCAAGTGCCCCAGCATCATTAACAGATGCCTGTCCCCACAAAGCCGGCATAGAGGCATATTATCTCCATTCTGCACAATGGGAAAGAAGGCAAAGCAACTCTCTCAAGGTCACACAAAAAGACTGCGGCTAAGAAAGACAAGGTTCTTTGGGTGAATCTGATATCTTTTATTAGACCAACTTAAATAGTTGGGAAAAAATTTTTAGCAAGCTTTCGGGTTTAAAAACTTTGTCAGGTTAAGGAAGTCTCTGCAGTGGATGGATGGAAGAACACGAATAAACTTGCTAAAAAGTTTTTTCCAACCATTTTAGTTGGTCTAATAAAAGCTATCAGATTTTTAGCCAAAGAACCTTGTCTGCCTATGTCCTTAAACTGACATGGCTACAACCTACACCCCCGTGGCTAAGAAAGTAATTTAACACAAGTCAGCGGTAACCTGTCCTGTACAGTGTCTGTACTGTGATGCATCAAAACTGGGATTAGACCTGAGAAATCTGGCCTTTGTCATCAGAGCAAATCATACTTCACTAATTGCTGTATGTACAATTACTGTCTTGGACCGAAAATTTGTAGGAGTCACTCTTGAAAGATTAAAGGGAATTATAAATGACATCCAAGAATAGGGTAGAGAACTACTTTGCCTTTCATAACCAGACATGTCATTCCCACTAGCCTGGCAGGCTAATCACAACCCAAGTGTCAGAACTTCTTCTCATTTGCTTTGCTAATTGTGTACACCAGGTAGGGCAGTTTCTCAAAACTCATCTGCGTTGCTGATTTCTCACCTCTCCCTGGTTGGAAGAGACAGAAAAACTAACTCTCCTCCTTCTTCTCATTCTACAGATTGCTTCAGTGGTCCGGGCAGTCTGTCTCGGTAAGAAGGTCAAGACTTTTACCATGTAACTAAGTTCAGGCTTCCTATCGGCTAAGGAAACAACTGCATCTTTTCCTGGAATTTGCAACAAGCCTGTAGTCTAAGAGCTGTCCCAGACACAGCTTTACATTAGCATAAAGGTGCTTGTATCAATACAGAAGGATAAGCTATTCTGATAAGAGCATAGTAATAGTGGTATAGCCATGCCATAGAATCATAAAAAATGGAGGTTGAAGGGACGTCAGGAGGTCACATCTAGTCCAACCCCCTGCTCCAAGCAGGACCAGCCCCAACTAGATCATCCCAACCAAGGCTTTGTCTATCTGGGTCTTAAAAACCTCCAAGGATGGAGATTCCACCACCTCTCTGGGTAACCTGTTCTGGTGTTTTACTACCCTCCTCATAAGAAAGTTTTTCCTCATATCTAATCTAAGCTTCCCTTGCTGCAACTTGAGCCCATTGCTCCTTGTTCTGATGCCCACCTTGCTGGGGTCATCTGATCCCAGCAGTCTTTCCTGCTCAAGTGCAGGGGGGCTGGACCTGATGATCTATAAGGTCCTTTCCAGCCCTTACCATCTATGAAGCCTATGAAACCTGCCATCTGCCACCACTGAGAACCAGCTCCATCCTCATTCAATCCCCCTTTCAGGTAGCTGAAGCTGCTATTAAATACCCTCTCCATCTTCTCTTCTCCAGACTAAATCAGCCCACTTGTCTCAGCCTCTCCTCATAAGTCATGTCCCCCATCCCCCAAACCATTTTCATTGCCCTCCGCTGGACTCTCTCCAATTTGTCCACATCCTTTCTGTAGTGGGGGGCCCACAACTGGACACAAGACTCCAGATTTGGCCTCACCAGTGCTGAATAGAGGGGAAGAACCACTTCCCGCGATCTGCTGGCAACGTTCCTACTAATGCAGGCCAATATGCCATTAGCCTTTTTGGCAACAAAGTCACATGATTGCCTACATACAACATTCACGTTGAAGAGTTTCAGCGATGTAGACTAAGTTAACAGTGAGCCAAAAAAACCTGTTGTCCAGCCCTCAGCAATTGCCAGCTACTTTAGAAGACATTTTGCAACTGTAGCTGCATCTACTCAGTCCCCTAATAGAGATGCTATGTGCTGACAGGAGGTTTTCTTCTGATGCAACAACCCCATTACTCCAATGACGTTGGCTAACTTCACGTATGTATTTGTGGCATGCAGGTAAAGGCGCAATGGGATCCATGCCACACGTGTATGGCAGGAGGTGCAATCCCATGGTGCCTTCTTACCAGTGCAGGGGGTGCCTGAACCTGGGCTCCCCCTGCACTGCAAGAAGCAAGGTCCAGCAGCTGGGAGCCCCCATGCACCTCAGCTGAGGGATCCCTAGCCACAAAGGAGCCCTACACAGCCCTAGGGTGGGGAAATCACTGCAGGGGGGATCCTCCCATCTCAGGGATTTCACGTACCTCTGGGCCGGGGTGACAGCCAAGAGGCACACTGTGGGGACCCAGCATCTTCAGCTCTGGGTCCACAGCTGCTGGGGCTGAGAGGCCTAAACAGCTGCGGGACTGGCAGCTCCATCTCGGTATGGTGCACCCCTGCAGCTGGGAGCCCTGTCAGCTCATGGGGCTCTCCCAGCCACCAGGACACCCTGCTACATGAGCACATTCAATCTCATAGATTTCACAGACATCAGGGGCTGGAAGGGGCCTCACGAGATCATCAAGTCCAGCCCCACTGCCATAGGCAGAAGAAACCAGCTATAAAGCTCTCAATAGCAACCAGCTATAAAGTTAGTGCACATTTTCAAGGTCTAACTTAATAGGTGGTTGGAGCTTTTTACTGAGTGGTAACCACTTTGCACATGGTAGCTGGTCTTGAGGTAACTACATAATTAACCAGTTAATTGTGCAATACATGTAACATGTAGAGCAGGCCTATTTGACTGAAGTGCTGCCCTTCCCAGAAAGGCTCAGAGCCACTTACAAACCTTGACAAACACCCCCTTTGCCTGCCTAGCTGCAACTTCAAAAGGGGTTTTGTCCACACAGCTAGAGCAGCTTAGGGGTGTGATCCTTTCACATGTTCAGTCAACACAGCAGTGCCAGGTGACACCCAGTGCTAAATTTTGTGACCTAAAATTAATCTGTGGAAGTGAATGCATTTTAACACCTGCTCTGGGCCCTCCTGGAACATTTCTTCCAGATACCGAACCAACAACTGTTCTTCACGGGAAGTTGGAGTCCTCATGTAAGCCAGGCAAGGTTCTTTGGGTAAATCTGGTATCTTTTATGAGACCAACTCAAATAGTTGGAAAAAATTCTTCTTTGTAAGCTTTTGGGGATAAATACCCTTCGTCAGGCTGAGGAAGCATTTGCAGTGTGGCTGTGTCCGTGTCCTCCTGGATGGAATGACTAGTAAAGAAGCCAGAGGCTGGTCTGCATGCAAGAAAGCCATGCATATCTGTGGCATGCAATAAGTTTTGGGGAGGGGACTAGTGTTAAAAAAAAATCATTAATTGACCATCAATTAGTCTGAGATTAAAAATTCTGTGTAGCCATATCCCAACAACCAGGTAAATAGTTTAGGCAGTGTCTACACAAGGCATGCTACTGGGATAGGAATCCTGCTGGAGTCCACCAGCAAAGCCCTGCTCGTGTGAATGCAGCCAAATCAACAGACTGCACTTAGTGCTGGGGAAGTAACCATCATTTTCTCAAAGAAAAAGAAGCCGTAGTGATAAAGCACAATTTGGACAGGATACCTGTGCCTGCACTGGGGGCCACCCTTTTTGGCAGACGTGTCACCAATTAGCCCTACATTCTCCCTGAGTGCTACTCTGATCCCCTTCCCTTGCCTGACCTGCTGCCCTGTTTTCTGCCGTCTTCCTGGTGCTCCCTGCCCAAACCCCTGCTCTGCTTTTGGTTTTCCTACCTTATCTGCTACTGTGTTGCCTGCTCCTTTTCCTGATCTCCCTCATGCCACACAGACTACCCATGCCACTTGGCCATCCCTGGTCTACACTATGCTGGTGAAAGTCTATAATGCCTCTCCTGTTTGAAGGCTTGGTCTGTTCTTGAAATGTTGCTCATGTAGCTATCTATGTCACTCATCATAGAGCTAGGCTAGCAAAAACCCTAATATAAACACCATTACAATGGCAAAAAACTCCCTTCACTTGTATCATCCTAGTCAGCTTGGAGAATTGCTTTAAGCTATAGCAGCAAAAGAACTTGTACTGGAAAAAAATTCTTCCAGTAAATCAACAAAACCTTTTACATATAGGCAAGCCCAACTTGGATGCCCAGGAAGACAGTCAAATCCCAGCAGAAGCGGTTATCCCTTGGATCTCGTGCAGTCTCTTATTCTGGATACCAGCTTAAAAAAAAAAGTCTTGTGTGCTCTGTGTGTGAAAATGCCTGTCCTATAGCTATTCTCCTAGCCCAAGAGGCTCATGCCTAGCTATGTTCTGAGGTTCAGGAAAAAGTATCTTAGGTGTAATATTATATTATGCAGAGAGTTTAGGAAATACTGTTGGAGTCTTTCGGATAAAAAAAGTGATCCTAAAAGGAAAATTTTGGAGAAGGGAGACTGCTTCAAATACAGCAGGTTACCATCACTTTTACTCTGATGCCTTGTAAACTTGGAACGATGTCAGCCGAGTCCTCAAAGCTTATATCGACTCTGATGACCAGGTAAGATACAGGAGCCTTTAACTTACCTCTTTTATTGCCAGGCAACCAGTTCAGGATTCTACATATGAAAATCTCGATAGCAGGAACAACTGTGGGGGCAGCCAGAGTTTGCCAACGCACTGAACTCTAACAACTCGCAGGTTTGAATTAGGACCATAACGCTTTCACACATTTCCCTATTTTCACCTCCCTTTTGTTACCTTGAGAGCAAAGCAGACCACAGTTGTGAGCCTTTCATCCGGCATGTGGATGTTTAACTACTGACCCTCCAGGGCACAGAGGATGGCAGATGGGTCATGTTGCCCCTACTGGCTGTGACAACATAGACCTCATTGAGAGAAAATGGGGGAAGAGAATAAAAAGAGAGTTAGAAAAGGAAGGAGATATCCACGGCAAATGAGAAGAGGAGTTAACATGTCTACACCAATTGACCCGTGTGGAGCCTCCACGACACCGCCGAGCGTTAAGCAGAATATTTTATTGTGTTAGCTCCCTCCAGCATTTTCCAGAAGTTGTTTTAAAACTATTTCCCCTTGAAAAACTTGGCAAAGTGCATGCAATTTAGCAAAGCCACCGATGCAGTGAGTTTACAGATTGAACTTCAGCAGTTTTTCAGTTGCGTACAAAAAGATAGTTGGAATTTTTTTGAATGGGAAAACATTGTTTGTTTTTTTTTTAATTCCTCTATCTTAGAAACTTCTGAAGGTATTTTCTCCAGCTTTAAAAAGAAAATCTCCCCTGAGGCAGAGAAGGAATTTAAACCCAAAAAGAAGTTTTCAGAAAGGTGCGGAGATGGAGAACAGGAAATTTGAATGGAGATCTTCTTGTAACCATAACTATAGTAGTCACAATTGTTGGATATTGTGTATAACCACACACATGCACGCATGCACAAATGCACACGTGCATGCACACTGAACTCATTATAATAAGTGGATGTACAGGCTATATTACAGTAAGAGTAAACTTGTATTAATCTTATTTACTTATTTGTTTATATACTTATGTATTATTTATACAGATAGAGAGTATAGCTGGTCAATTAAATTCTTCCAGTTTTTCAAAGAACCACAGCTTTTAGACTAAATAGAAATTTTTGCAAAAAATGTTCACACCTCCAAAATTAGAGGGAGACTGTCAAAATACTAAGAATTGGAGGGGAAAAGGGGCGGGAAATGAAAAGTCTTTACATTATCAAAAATAAGACTGTTCTTTTCTTTAGTGAAATCTCAAATCGTGTAAAAAAAATTCAATTAAATTTGTCAAAGGAAAAGAAACAATCATTTGCCAACTATAATATATCTGTATTACATGAAAAGATTCCATATACGTTCAGTACTCACCCTTAAAAAGACCACAGTCAAGAAGATAAAGATTTTTTTGCAGCAACTCAGATACACCTGTTAATGATACACTTCAATACCATCATGCCTAAAAGCCTCGGATGAGAATCTGCAAGATATTCTGTCGGTGCAGGGAACCAGTTCCATTAGTTCTACAAAAAAGATACACACAGAGAGGGGAATGGTCAATTTTCAGTAATTTCTGTGGCTTTTCACTATTGACTGCATTTGCTCAATGACTATTTACCACATGCACCCCCAACATCCCCTTTATTTCTCTAGGCATATTTTATTGCCCATCTCCCCACAAAAAACTGCAATATTTGATCATCCTATTTGGCTTAACAACAAATAGCCAGAAGCACACCCTTCCTAGACATGCAAAACACGTGCACGTAGCGTGTGACAAGAGGACTAGGCCATGGATTCTGAGAGGTGTGAGATGTGCTCCAACCTGGAGAGAAGTATTGTGATTTGGGTTGTCTACTTCACTGTATTAGCACAGATAGCTGTTATTCATACATTAGCATCAGCAAAGTCTATGTCCTTCTACTAGCTATTGAGCCTTCACAAAAGTTAAGTCTCTATTTTATTGCAAGAGACGGAACGATTAGCTATGGATATTGTTCAGGTTTCATAGTTGCTAGGGGCTTGAAGGAACCTTACAGATCATCAGGTCCAGCCCCCCTGCACTTGGGCAGGAAAGACTGCTGGAATCAGATGACCCCAGCAAGGTAGGCATCAAGATGGTTTTGAAGGGTTGGGCTTTTCAAAAGCCAAAAATACTGATACTTAAAAGTGTACAAAACTAAGCCGCTTTTATTTAGAATTATATGAATATTGAATATTCAACGTTCATGCCTTCCCTGTATTTTTAGCTTTATATATTTATACTTCAAGTACAGCTTTCTCCATAAAAACCCAGAAGTGAAAAAGGTACACTGCATATTATTCAGAAAAGCGAGTGCTATGGCTAAAACGAGCCACATGCACGTTTGTGAAGAGGACGCGTGTAATTTCTGTGCATCTTTTACTGTAACAAAAGTATGCCACCCATTTGGGGGAAAAAATTCAAGATTGTTTTATGAAGAGGATTAGAGAGATCTCAAAACAGGTCAGAGGTGAAATGCAAGAAAAATACTGTGCCTATTTTTAATTCTCTGACTGATAAAAGTGCACATCACAAGAGCATCAGGAAATAATCTGTTCTTACAATGATAAAGCAAAGCAAGCAAAAAAAGTACACTGCGATTGTCCTTATATTTAAGTTACCATTTGCTCACATGATCAGGTTTTATCGGCAAGGCATTCATTGCAACAAAATTTGCTTAAAGCACACACGTCCAAACTGATTGTGCCAGATACCTCTCCGAGTCCCAGTTCTCTCCCTGCTTCCCCCACGATGGACCTTCTACTGACTTAATCCAGGGGCCACCTGAAACCTCCCTTGTGCTGACTCCCTTACATCCTCGCTATGATCCACCAGTCCCATGCTCCTCTGGTCACATTTTGGGTGAGGAGTTATAGCAGGCAAGCGGGGCAACACCAAGTCATTGCGGTACCTTTGGGAACCCAAGGGGCATCAGAACGGGAGCGCTTATGCCTATGCTGTTTGCCAGTAGAAGGCTTGTAGCCTTAAGCCCAACATCCCCCTTCACAAGGAAATTCTCACGGCCGTGAAAAGACTTCTGGCTGCCAATGCTGAAAGGATCTTTGTTCAAACATATCACAGCTAGTCCAGCGTGAGTGTCTGATTTGCCATCAGCCACGATGTTTTGGTGGTGCTGAAGTGATAGCTGTGGAAGTCCCAGAAACGTGAGCAGCAAGCATTTTCGTGGGCAACATCTTTTATTGGCGTAACAGCACGGTTGCAATGGACTTAAACAAGCTTTTGGGTATCATTGTCATCTTTCCCTGGGTAAGCCCCAAAAGCTCATTTACATTTATCCCAACCATGGAGTTGATCCAATAAAAGATATCATGAAAAAGGGCGCGTATGCCCGAAAGCTTGCAAAGAAAGATCATTTTGTGGCGATTTCTTAGTTGGTCTAATAAAAGGCATCATATCTCTGAACCAAGAGTTTGAGTTTTGCATTTCTTTTTGTTTAAGACCAACACGGCTACCAAATACATCCCAGATATCACCCACAAAATTCTTGCCCATCAGCCATACATCAGTCTGATCTGTTGCTTGGACATCTATGCTGGACTCTCCTTTTACTGTCATAGGTACAAAAGCAACAAAAGTGAGAAAATATCCCCCCTTTGCCATCCTCATATGGCAGAGTCAGCCTAGACATCCTCTGCAATGTCCACTTTCAGGAGAAATTGAAACAAATCACCTAGCCTCAAGCACATTTGCTGAAACAAAGTTAATTATAGTGTATGTTACCACCAAGCGACACAGGGCTTTACCCACGATTTCTAATGCATAAATATAACCTACTTCCCTCTGGTTGACTATACCTCTCACTGACAACCTCATCCAGGGGAAGGGCTATTATTACAGTAAAATCTCATTAATTTGTCCCTCCAGGGGATTGGTAGGGGTGACTAATGATCCCTGAGTGACTAATTACCAGTAGTTAATGACGACGTAATAACTAATTATTAGTTGACTAATTACTAGCACTTAGTCACTTTCAACTTTTCACGAGAGGTGTTTTGCACGCCATCTCAAGACAGAAAAAAAATGATTTTTGAGAGGTATAAGGAAGAAAAATCTATATATTACAATTTGCACTTGGAACTGTTGTAAGCAGTCTGGCTCACTATAGGAGAATTGTGTAATTATACAGGTGGGTAAATTAATGTACAGCTTCTTGCCAAAAAAAGCAGAGCGCCTACTGATTGTAATTGGATGATTAGGATGGAGTACACTAATTGAGGATTTTTGCCTTGCGCTCTCATGTGCACGTTGCCAAAATAGAAACTAATTCACCAGAACAGAACAGCTACCCAGTGCTATTAAAGGTTTGATCAATGCTATGGAGGGTGCAGGTCTGTATATTTTCAATGCGCTGCTGTAGTTTCTTGCATGCCACATGACCCCAAATAAGACACGCACCTTGTTTTTGGAAGGCAAAATGCAGAAGAGATTTTTCCCGTCATGATCAACCACGTGACAGAACGCCTAGAAAAGATGGTACCAGGAGACCTTCTGGGCGAGGCAGCAGGAACGTACTGGGGTAGCAAGACAGCAACAAGGCAAGGCCCCAGACCCTTTTCAGGGCAGCAGGAAAACTTACTTCTTTACTGTAAATAGTTCTTTATACAAGTGCCTGTAAATAGTAAAGTGTTGTTTCCATACCACAAGCCTCATCCAGATATTACAGACTGCATGCAGCATCTCACCTGTCCTAAGCCAGCTCAATTACTCCTTCAGGCACAGACTCCAGTGCTCAGCCACTAGCTCTTGCAATTCCGTTGCAGCTGTGAAATGGTTAACACTGGACTCCTCCCCTTCTGCTTGCTGGACATTTTGGTAGCCATTGGAACACAGCACCTCCATGCTTCTAATCCAGAGAAGAAAAAATCAGCTTCCTTGCTTAAGACATGCACACCCCAATTTTGAAGAGCTGACTTTTTTTGGAAGAGGAAAAAAGTATTTGATACGCAAATAAATACCGTATTTATCAGGAGCACGCATAGGCATGTATACTTGGAATGACTATGCTTTTACTGGTGATACATTAACGAAATCAACAGGGCTCTGTTGGGAAGCAAGTGCACCAGCAGCAGTAATGAGTTATCCTAGTGACTGCTGACCCAAATTTTACTGTATTTCTTGAATGCCCTGCCCTCTGCAGGACTTTTCCCAGCAGCCCCTGCAGACCCAATCATTTTAAAGGCAGTAAGTCATGTGTTTGCTTAAAGTTCCAAGAAGCGTATGAGTCTGATTATTTGCTTAGTGTTGAAAAAGCATTAAATTCTGAAGACAGACACTAATAGTATAATCAGCATCACAAACTCCAGGAAGACATGGAAAAACTGCAGCATCTTCAAAGCAATAAGTCTGGGAGGAAATGAATTATGGAGGAATGTTTTTAAAAAAGCAAATATATAGTAACCTCATTAGGTAATAATTACTCATAGCCTTCATCAAACCTGAAGGCTGCAAGTCTGAAAAAGGGAAAGGTCCTGGTTAGGATTGTGCTAGGGAGTATACAGTTTAAAACAGTAGAAGACTTGGGCATTAAGGGAATATTTGGAGGAGGAAGGGGAAGTCAGGAGCTTATGGTGCGTGGGATCTAGGGGTTCCTACCAGTTACGCAGAAAAGCTTGAGAGATCATAAAGAGATACTTAGGAGTGTACACACATGGGAAGCAAAACTTCAGAAAGTATGGCTGAGGATGTAGTAGAAAGAAACATAAGTAAGGTCAGAGTTGCAGGTAAAGATGAAGCAGAAGGTAGGAAGCTAGGGATGGCACTTCTGAAGGGCGAGTGACAAGGCCAGTGCACCAAGAGAAAAATCAGTTCCATAATAACAGCATTGATGGACAGGAAAAGGGAATGGTGGGACACAGGAAGACCAGGGTAAAGACTGCTAAAGTCAAGGCAGGTTATGAATTAGCCCGATGTCCATGTTCTGGTAGGGACACAGGAAGAAGGGATTTTGGTCTTAGCACAGATGAATGGCAGAAG